AAATCATGAGTGAACTCTCATTCACAATTGCTACAAAGAGAATGAAATACCTAGGAATACAACTTACAATGGACGTGAAGGAACTCTTCAAGGAGAACTATAAACTACTGCTCAAGGAAATAAGAGAGGACACAAACAAATGGAAAAACATTTCATGCTCATGGATAGAAAGAATCAATATAGTGAAAATGGCTACACTGTCCAAAATAATTTATAGACTCAATGCTATCCCCATCAAGCTACCATTGACTTTCTTCACAAATTAGAAAAAGCGACTTTACATTTCATATGGAACAAAAAGAACCTGTATAGCCAAGACATTCCTCAGCAAAAAGAACAAAGCTAGAGGCATCACTCTACCTGACTTCAAACAACATTACAAGGCTACAGTAACCGAAGGAGATGGTACTGGTACCAAACAGTTATATAGAACAATGGAACAGAACAGAGGCCTCAGAAATAATGCCACAGATGTACAACCATCTGAGCTTTGACAAACCTGACAAAAACAAGCAATGGGGAAAGAATTCCCTGTCTAAAAATGGTGTTGGGAAAACTGGCTAGCTATATGCAGAAAACTGAAACTGAACCCCTTTCTTAAACATTATACAAAAATTAACTCAAGATGGATTAAAGACTGAAACCTAAGCCCTAACACCATAAAAACTCTAGAAGAAAATTAGACAATACCATTCAGGACACAGGCATAGGCAAATACTTCATGACTCAAACATCAAAAGCAATGGCAACAAAAGCCAAAATTGACAAAAAACGATCTAATTAAACTAAAGAATTTCTGCATAGCAAAAGAAACTGTCATCAGAGTGAACAGGCAACCTACAGAATGGGAGAACATTTTTGTAATCTATCCATCTGACGAAGGGCTAATATTCAGAATCTATAAGAAACTAAAATTACAAGCAAAAATAAACAACCCCATCAAAAGTGGACAAAGGATATTAACAGGTACTTCTCAAAAGAAGACATTTATGCATCCAATGAACATATAAAAAAAAAAACACTCATTATCACTTGTCATTAGAGAAATGCAAATAAAAACCACAATGAAATACCTGTTTATGCCAGTTAGAATGGTGATCATTAAATAGTCAGAAAACAACAGAAGCTGGAGAGGATGTGGAGAAATAGGAACACTTTTACACAGTTTGTGGAAGTGGAAATAATTAAAGCATTGTGGAAGACAGTGAGGCAATTCCTCAAAGATCTGGAACCAGTAATACCATTTGACCCAGCAATCCCATTACTGGGTATATAACCAAAGGATTATAAATCATTGTACTACAAAGACACATGGACATGTATGTTTATTGCGGCACTGTTCACAATAGCAAAGATTCAACTCAAATGCCCATCAATGATAGACTGGATAAAGAAAATGTGGAACATATATACCATGGAGTACTACACAGCTATAAAAAAGGATGAGTTCATGTCCTTTGCAGGAACATGGATGAAGCTCAAAACCATCATTCTCAGCAAACTCACACAGGAACAAAAAACCAAAAACCGCATGTTCTCACTCATAAGTGGGTTGAACAATGAGAACACATGGACACAGGGAGGGGAACATTATATACAGAAGTCTGTCAGAGGGTGGGGGGCTAAGGAAGGAATAGCATTAGGAGAAATACCTAATGTAGATGACGGGTTGATGGGTGCAATAAGTCACCATGACACGTGTATGCCTATGTAACAAACCTGCACATTCTGCACATGTATACCAGAACTTGAAGTGTAATAATTAAAAAAAGGAGTGATGATTACCAAAGTCTGGGAATGGTAGTTGGTAGGGGAGTGGGGATGGTTAATGAGTAAAAAAAAATACAGAATGAATAAAGTCTGGTACAATGGGGTGCTTATAGTCAATAATAATTTATTGTACATTTAAAAATAACAAAGTATAATTGGAATGTTTGTAACATAAAAAAATGATAAATGTTTGAGGTGATGTATACCCTGTTTTTCATTATGTGATTATTATGCATTGTTTGCCTGTTTCAAAACATGTCATGTACCCCATAAATACTTATATCTACCACATACACCAACACTTAGAAATTGTAAAGGTATAGAAATAAAAGAAAAAATTAAACAAGTGTTCTCTGGTTCAGGATGAGATAAACACATCACAGGGAAAAGCATATTTAAAGTTTCTGAGAGCCCAAAGTGAAGGGACTTACCTAGGGTACAGAGTCAACTTTCCCAATAAGAGAATTCTTTGCTTGGATGACTGAAGATTAGAAACCAGGATGAAATCTGCCAAATTTTAAACTTACATCCTTTCTTAGGAAACTGACTTTCAAGCCTCACAGATGACATTAAAGAGCTGAGGCTATTGGGAGCCTGACACCTAGACAATGAGATACACCTGTGGCTTATTAATCAATCAATTCCTCTTCCTTACCTCGCCCTAGTTTCTATTTTTCTACCTGTGGTTACAGTGAGATACTAGACCGCTTATCTGACCACCTGCTGCCTGTTAACCAGCTCCACTTCCCTGCGTCTCTTTTTTTCCTTCTCTACTATGTAAACCCCTAACTTTTGTTGGAGAGGAGAAATGGATTTGAGATTTGGCTCCCATTTCTCTGGCAAATGTCACCCATAAAATAAAATGGTTTTTTTGTGTGTTTGTTTTCTACCCTCCCCGCCTCCCCACTCCCACTCCCCAGTGATGCTCATTGTCTCAGTGATTGGTTTTCTGTGTGGTAAGCACACAGAATTTGAGATTTGGGATTCGGACCAAACCCCTGGTGTTCCGTAACAAGGACCTGACATGAATGAACAGCAATCGAGCTGCTCTCCACTGAAAAGCCCAAACTTGAGAGATGGTTGGTGGGAGAAGTAGATTTACTCCCAGAGGCAACAGACTGAGAATATGGTGGGCTAACGTCTCAAGTTGGTACAAATTACAGGCTCTTTTTGTGTTAAGGATGGCGGGGGGTGGGGGGGAAGGGGTTTGGAATCAGGAGGTGACTGAGGACCTCGGACACCTGGGCACCAGAGGGGGTCCAAGGGGGTTGGGAACTCCTTTGTCTTTAGTCAATTCAAAATGCTCCTATTAACTTAACAAAATATATTTCGTTGTTAACGTACTTCTCCTTTAATCCCAGAGTTAGTTTCAAAAAGTATATGATTGCTGTTTTTGCATTTTATCTCTGTGTTCTAAAATTAACCTAGCCTGTGTTGAGGAATGAGTAAAGACCCTTGAACAAAACTGGAGTTAGTTACGTTAGTTTATTTGTTGTTGCACTGTTAGGTTTTCCCCATCTTTTTGTTTTAAATACAATGGCATTTTAAAAAGCCTATTGGCTAGGAAATCTCTGGATACTCACTTCTCTTATTAAAAAATCAAACAAATAAGCAAGGAAACTGAAGGCTTACAAATATAATTTTTGACAATTTGATTTTTAAGTTCCTTTTTCACGATTTGGTGGGCTTTTGATAATGGAAAGAGAAAAAGGAAAAGAAATATTGAGAGAGAACAATTAAGGTTGAAAGAAAACTCCACACCTCTGCAGATAGGCACATATAGATGAGTCCACATGCCATCATGCTACATATGAGAACTAGAAACTATGAGTAAAAAAATTTGCTTATTGGTAGAAATTGGTCAATAATAATAGTAAAAAAGGTTATCGTGAATATATAGGAATATAGGATCCTTAGCTGTTCTTCACCTACCAAAGGCCATTGATTGGTTGGACTGATGTTACAAATTTATTAGTCAGTAAGGAAGATTAGATTTTAAAAGAAAATACTAGGTGGACCCCAAGTCATCAGAGAAGCAACTCAAAGATAATCCATTGGCATTATTGTTAGAGTACCTAATATTTGATGCAATTATTTGTTCTTTAGGGAATTTGTCTAAATACATTAAGTGTGTGTTTGTGTTTGTGTGGCTGAATACGATGTTCAGTATGTACAATAGTGTTGTCTTACCTGGGAAGCAGGTGAATAGACCAACCCACAGCCTGAAAGAAACCTACTGCAACTGACCTGCAAATATTTACTGTTGTAGGCCATTAAGATTTGTGGGATTTGTGTAAGGCAGTATTATAGCAGGAATCTGATTTATCAATTCAGCAGAGGATAAATTAATTTGGTAAGTCTGACTTCAAAAAACAAGGCTCTGGCTCTGGCAAAGATACACCGGGTTATAATTTGAATTGATTAAGTGAAGATTATTAACTCATCTGTAGAATATTGGCTCACAAAGTAATGTGCCAAGTCTTCAAACTTTACCATTTCCATTTGAGATGTTCTGTTCCCTTGACTTCCTTGGTTTTGGTAAAAATAAAAATAGGTATTTATTTTTTTCAAATTATTTTTGAATTATAGCCACCTTTTCAGGCAGATTCTACTCATAACTACAATTTATTTCTTTAGCTAAAGAATAATTCATATTTCGATCATTTAATAACAAAGCAAGAGTCTGCAAGTTCAGGAAGAATATTGTGTATGTGGGAGAAATCCTAAGATTCTTGAACAATAGCCAACACAATGGAATATTCTCCCTATTACCTCCAGGAAACCTGACTTCCTAGTCCAGATTTTGTACTAATAAGGTTTGTAGTATTGGAAAATTTATGTCTATTTTCTGGTTTAAATATTTTGAGTCAAGTAACTGGATGAGTTGAATAGAGCTGCAGAGTTTATACTCTTCATTGGTGACTTGGGCATATCAAATTGAATAGGAGGTGGGGAATGGGGCATCAGATTGAGGTACAAATGTTCAGAAATCTTTGCTCTTGTTTAAACCTGTATAAAAATCCATCTTCAATCTATTTTTCCTATTTGGACTATGGATAATTTGTTAATGAAAGGTCCGTAGCTAAAAACATTAAAAATCCATTAGCTGAAACAATTTCAAGCATTCTTTCTAAATAAAATTCTCACCGACCCTAGTAAAGGAAATAAAGATGATAAGTTTGAAGGTGAAAATTACCATTTTTATTGCTTTAATTTCAGTTTAACTTTCACTTTGAGGAAATGGTAAATCTTTATTCCTGCAGCAGTCCTTCTCTTCATTCCATCTTTCGTTATGGTTTTGTGAAAATCCCCCTCCAGTTTATTAAGTCAACAGCATGCTCTGGACATGACGCAGACACATTATTGTTTTAGGAAAGTCTGTAAGCAATTGCAATCGACAATTTATGCCGTACCTTAAATGATAATAACTGTGATTCATTTTAGAAATGGCTGTTATGATCGAACAGTTAAAATTCCAGAACAAACTGCTATTCACAAACATTAAAATGAAACAGTGCCTGTTTTGAAGATTTTCTTAAATAGTGAAAACTGTTCTGTTAGCTATTTGCTTCATCAAAGAACATTAAGCCTCACCATGGCAGATTCCAACAGAGTCAACTTTCTCTAAAGTCATAGCTTAATCAAACATTTGCTAATGAAAATTAATGAAAGTTATATAACTTTCTTAATTCAAAAAGTCTTACTGAATACATAAAGGATCTACAAAAATATATGTTAAGATGGGAAATAAATTGACTGAAGATTATTAGGCCAAGAAGTTTCAATTAAGTAATGCAAAAACGTGTCCTAATTTGCCACCAGAAGTAGAACTTACTTGTCCATGGAGTAAATGGATGACTCAACCTGGATACCAACTTAGATTATTTTATGTTAACAAATTTTTAAAACTTAACCTTGAGAAACACTTTATGTTTCTGGGTCCTGGATCTGTCCTCTACCAGCTGAAGGTCTTAGCCTATGTATTGTTTCAGACACTTTTAGATTTAAAGTTATGATATGTAATGAGACAGTTATGATACTAATTAACATACGATATTTGCTTCACCCCTTAAACTCAACTCAAATTCTATTGTGTCCATGTTTTGTCAAAAATGCATTAACTATATCTCCTTAACTTTTAGCATAAAGACTAAACTCCTCACTTAGGCTATTCATGCTACAGTAACAAAATATCTGAGACTGGGTAATCTGTAAGTAATAGACATTTATTTCTCACAGTTCTGTGGATGAAAAGTCCAAGATCAAGATGCAGGGAGGTTTGGTGTCTGGTGATGCCTGCTCTTTTTTTAAGTTGGTGACTTTTTACTATATCCCACCATGGCAAAAAAGATGGAGGTTAAAAAGGATGACCTCACCCCTTCAAGTGCTTTTATAAGGGCTCTAATCCCAGCCCCTAGGGTGAGCGAGGTCAGGGCCTAATCACCTTCTAAAGGCCCTGTCCCTTAGTACTGCCTCAATGGGGATAAAGCTGCTAGGAGGGACACCAATATTCAAACCATAGCATCCTGCCCCAGATCTCCAAAATGTATGTTCCTCTCATACACAAAATGCATGCAATCCATTTCATAACCTTCAAAGTTTTAATTCACTCTAGCATCAACTTTAAAGTCTAAGTCCAAAATTGCACTTCAATATCATCTAATTCGGATATGGGTGAGCCTTAAAGTATGATTCATCCTAAGGCAAACTTTTCTCAGCTGTAAGCCTGACACATCAAATAAATGATGTTCTTCTAAAACACAACAGTGAGTAAGGCATAGGATAGACATTCCCATTTCAAAAGGGAGAAACAGGAAAGAAGAAAGGGTTAATAGGTTCTATCCAAATCCAGAACTCAGCAAGGCAAGCACTAATTCTTAACGCTCTAGAAAAATACTATTTCGCTCTATCAACCGCCTTCAGAACACCCTGGGGTGGGGATTGGCTCTCAAAGCTCCTGGCAGCCCCACTCCCACCCCTTTGCTGGGTGCAGTTCACATGGCAGCTCTCCGGGTTGGCATCTCATGGCTTTCCCAGGCTGGAGTTGCACAGTGGCAGCTCTACAGCTCTGGTGTCTTGAGAGTAGCCCTACCCCTGATCCTCTCAGAGCCCTGTCTCCCTTCCCCTCCCCAGTTCTCTGCCTGGGCCCTGAGACTCTGGAGACATCCTTTGACATCGACTTGGAGGTAAGCATTTCCATCGCGAATTCACTCTGTGTACTGCAGAGTTGGCCGTGAACAGACACCACCCAGGTTTATGGCTTGTTTCTTCTGGAGGCGTGTCCTGGGCTGCACTGGGAACCATTCAAGGCACAAATGAGCACTGCACCCTCATGCTGGGAGCAGTCCTGAAGCAGGAGAGGGCAGTGAGTGCTCACGTTTCAAGGGTACCTGAGGCCTCTTTTTTTGACATTCTTCTGTTTTCCAGACCTTAGCACTCTGGGCCTGTAATGGGAGGGGCAATGCTGATAATCCCTGCAGAGCCATCAGGGTCAGTCTCCCAGGGTCCTGATTAATAGCACTTGGCTTTTTCCCATTCATTGGTGTTTTCTCCAGAACGTAATTTGTCATTTTTTTGCAAGCTGAGAACTTTCCAGCTCCTTCTCTCTTCCCACATTTTACTACAACCAGTCAAGCAAACTCATTCCACACCCTCAACACTTTATTTAAATATTTCTTCTGCCAAATACCCTAGTTAATCGCTGTTAAATTCTGCCTTCCACAAAGCCCCAGGGATGGATACATTTCAAGTTTGTTGCCAGTTTATAACAAGGGTGGCCTTTTCTCCAGTTTCCAAAGGACTTTTTATTTCTGTCTAAGGTATCATCAGAACGGCCATTGCTGCCTATACTTCCACCAGCATTCTCATCAGAACCACTTACATAATCTCCAATAATATTTAGTCTTCTCTACAGTTCTCTTCTTTTGAACTTTCACCAGAATTGCCTTTAATGCTCTATTAAGCATTAAATGCTTAATAATGCTCTATAAGCTTTTTCTGTTTTTAACTCTTATTTTAGTTTCAGGGTCACACGTGCAGGTTTGTTCTGCAGAAAAACTGAATGTCACAGGGGTTTGGTGTATATGTTATTTCCTCACCCAGGGAATAAGCATATCCTATCCAATGAGTTCTTTTTAAATCGTAAGATTGAAAAAGTAACAGGCATCTCAAAACTCATTCACTCTTGACTCAGTCCCCAGTTTCAAAGTCAGTTCCACATTTTCAGGTATTTGCTATAGTAACACCCCACTTCTGAGTTCCAGTTGCTATCTTGTTTTTTTGTACTGCTAACATAAAATACCTGGGACTAGATAATTTATAAATAATAGAAATGTATTTGTTATCGATCTGGAGGCTGGGAATTCCATGATCCAAGCACAGGCAGGTTCAGTGTCTGGTGAAGGCTGGGTCTCTGCCTTGAAAATGGTTCCTGTTTTTACATCCTCTAGAGGCAAGTGCCTCTATGTTCTCACTCAGCAAAAGGGCAGAAGTAGAAAAAAAGGAGCTACTAGCTAACTACTTCCCATTAGCCCTTTGAGGCATTAATCCCATCCATGAGGGCTCTGTCTAACCACCTAAGGTTTTACTGCTGCACTGGGAACAAATTGCAACAAGAATTTTAGAGGGAGCAGCACATACATTACTTGTAGCATGTACATACCTTTTGGAAAATTAGGGGCCACTCATTGTTTGTAAACAGATCTTTTCAAGAGCCATGAGTAAATAAATAGGTCTCTTTAGTTCCATCATCTAAATAGTAAAGAAAATTATGCCCCATTTGAAGATGTTTTTGTGAAGAATAAAGTGGATAACATAAAATAACTTGAAATGATAGAGGTGCTGAATAGATAGCAGCTGATTATGGTATAATTGTTAGGTGAATAGTAAACAAACGTTTAGCACTATATCCAAGTATTCTTAATAATGTAGTCATTGAAGTTATTTGTTTAGCAAAAATATTTGACAGGACACATTGTCTAAGGTTGATAAAAAACACAACAAAAAATTTCTTACATGCAGTAAAAATGTATTTGCTCACAAAAATGTGAAGGGGCAATAATATAGATACAAACAATTTGATTAAGCGACTCCCTATCACTGCAATGATTTCTCCATCTTTCATCTTTGCATCATACCATTCACTGGCTTTAACTTGAATTTGGCCACCGCAACTCCTAGCATTTAAATTTCATAGCTAGGAAGAAATAAATCCTTCTTATTCTTGTAGCATATTAGTCTGTTCTTACATTTATATAAAGAAATACCTGTGGCTGGGAAATTTATTTTAAAAAGAGGTTTAATTAGCTCACAGTTCTGTAGATTGTATAGGATGCTTGGCACCCATGTCTGCTTCTAGAGAAGCCTCAGGAAGCTTTCAATCATGGCAGAAGGTGAGGGGTGAGCAGGAGCATCAGATGGCTAAGGCAGCAACAAGAGAGCAAGAAGGAGGAGGTCCAAGACTCTTTCAACAACCAGATCTCATGGGAACTGAGCCATTGAGAACTCACTTATCAACAAAAGTGCTAAATCATTCGTGAATAATTTGTCCACATGGTCTAATCATCTCCCACCAGGCCCCACCTCCGACACTGGGAATCATATTTTGACAGAAGATTGGGGGAGGACAAATATCCAAACCGTATAACCTGGATATAATTGTTATGGTTCTAGAGAATAAGTGAGAGTAACCAGGCTTGGTCATATGTCTATCCCTCCAAACAATCACTGTGACTGAGAAGTGGAAGCACTGATTAATCCAGCCAAAACCCAGCCCGTTTCTCAAGCTACTGCTATAGCCAAGGAGGCTGGGAATACCTCCTGTCATAAGAACTGAAGAAGCTGGGTTGCTGCATAGATGAGGCCATTGGGTGTATGATGATAAGCCCAGCAATATTTCTGGGTTGTTCACTAAGTCTCTTCAACAGTAAGCAGCTGAGAGCTAGACAGTTCCAAGCCCAGTTTCACTGGTGTTTCCTGCTGCATCATCCCCATACCTAAGAAACACTGTGTCTCATTTTCAGCAAAACTAGAATCATGTTTCCTTTAGGACTGAAGAATGGCACCTATGGGCCCCAGCACAGAAGCTGAGGATTCTATTGGGGAACAAAGCACCCCAGCCTCTATAATTCTAGTCTTATGTTTGCACCTCTCTTGCCATAGGACCTTGGAGTCATTAAGTAATCATTCTGACTCAGTTTCTGCATGCATAGAATAAGAAGTATCCACTACAGGGTATTTTCAACTCTATTTTTTCCAAACTTTACCTGAATTCTTGTTCTCCGATTCAAAGAAATTTACTAGAGCTTTTCATTAACATGAATTTTTCCTGTGTTACCATTTTTCTAATTTAAATGTCTATTTTTTAAGACAAATATGTT